TCAAAAATGCATGCCACTTCTTTCATCCGTAACTCTACTAAACTGTAACGTAACATTTTAACTTTTTCACACTTGAAACTTTTGACTAATCTTTTGCTTTTTTGTTTATCAGCCAATGTTGCCCAGAGATGACCCGCTTGAATCTGGGTGCTGATACTAGCCGCTTCTAATCACCTGACTAATCATCAACTTTCTCACTCAAACTCCACCAAATGAACTCCTCCTGTACAGTTTCTTAACTCATTTGTAAATTGATTCATTTTTATTTACCAAAGCTTTCTGATATTTTGTGCCTTATAAAATAAAATAAAACACGACTTTTAATTAATCTGACTAGAAAACATCACCAACCATGTAAAGCGCTACATTTTGCAACTTTTGGTGCTGCTGTTACAAACCAACAGTTTCTGAGAAATCGGGCCCCAAAGTGGACGGTTTTTAAAACTGCATTTACGAATTTAAACAATAGTTGTCACACCACCTACCGGTAAATAAACTCACTACTATCACAGCCGCACAACGATGATGAAATCCAATGCCGACATCGACAAAACGATTTCCACCACTGTCAAATCTGGAAACCTTGTGGCTCCAATGAACTCTTCTCGCTTCATCAACCTAGACTTCACCGGCATACTGCTCTCAAAAGAGCTCAATGATAAGGATGGGGACACAGTTTTAACTTCCAACTCCGCCTTCTTCAAGCTCCTCACGTTGCTGCCCTTTGAAATGGACGAACAGCAACAGAACCGTTTGGCCCAGTTTCCGACTACCTTTACTACTTACAATGTTTTCAAAGAGCCCGTTGACCAGATGAACCTGAAGCCCGATCAGCTGGCACACCGCCTCCAAGCGGACGCCTTCCCAGTGGGCCAGCGAGAGCTGAGCTGCCTGATTTCCGAGTGGGCCTTGGGCCACTTTTTGAAAGAGGCTAAGGATGAGAATGTTAAGTCTTCGTCTCGCCTGGTGATAATCACAGCCTACGGGTGCGTCAATGTGGCCTTTTTCGATCGGCTCCCGCTGCTTTCGGTGGTCAACTTTCGCAAGATTCACGTGAAACCTGATCCGTGGATCGGGAATCAGGGCAAGTGGCTGTGGCGGCTGCACGAGCCCTGGGATAAAGTCTGCTTCTGCAATGAGATGGACAATCGCTCGGAGTCGGGTGAGTTCATTTTGTTAATGTTTTTAAAATGTTTTGTTAACCGATGATGCAATCAATTTCTTTTTAGCTAAAACCGTCTACAAAGCTGTTCGCAGATTGGTGAAGGGATTTGCTGATAAAGAGGAGAAGGAAGCAAAAGAAGCTAAAGAGAAGAAGGAAGCTAAAGAAAAGGATTTGTATAAAGAAAGGGCAGGGTCGTCTAGCAGCAGAAAACGCTCTTCGGATTGTTTTGGCGATGATGAAGACTTCAACAACAACCAAAACATTAAAATAGCTACCGCTTTCAGATTTACAATAGAAGATGAGTACTACTATAACCGCAAAGACTACGAGAAAGCAGACCGATACGAGACCAGTGGTCAAAATAACAACAATCAAAACGAAGATCAAACCAATGCCTTGGAAGCGATGCAGCGTTTCCTCTTGCCTGCTGAACGAGGCAAAATATTCTACCACGAGATCGATATCTACAGCAATGTCAATACTTGGAACAACTTCAAACTAGAATCAACCGGCAATAAGCTTCTCGCGGATGCCTGTGCTCTTAATGATGTGGTCATCGTAGAAGACGGGGGAAACGGAGATGATGAAGAGGCATTGCGCTACATTGAGAAGACTAGCAAAGTGTTCGTCTACCGTCGTCTCCCAACTGAGACACTTTTAGAGCAACACGGAAAGCCTTTCAACCATGGCTGTATCCTCGCTCTGAGTCAATCTCGACTGAGGGCCAACTCGCACATCGAAGCAGTGGGCAGCTTTGCCGAGGTGGCCGCCATCCTCGAGGGTGTGACCAAGGAGAGAGCTCGGGAGGGCCTCTTTTTTCGCATTGCTGCTCGAGTAGTCGATTTTGAGTTTCGAAGTGAAAAGCAGAAGCAAATTATCAGCTCAGATGAAACTGATGTAGACAAGGAGGTTGACAGCAAAGACTTGCTTTTGTTTGTGGAGCTTCAGGATCTTCCTCATCAGCAGCAGCAAAAGCCATTGGCCACCAAGACTGTCTGGATCGTCGTAGAACGAGAACAGGTAGAAACTGTTCTTGACAGAGATCTGGGCAGCATGGCCAAGGAGGACGCTGTCAAAGTGTTGAAAAGCTTCTTCAGCAACTATTATCCGGTGGGAAAGCGACAGAAAGAGCAACAAAAGAAAGTACAGCAACAGAAGCAACAAACCATTGTGAGAAAGAAAAAGCAGTCTAAGACGAGCAACTCGGTGGAGGATGAATGGATCACGACGTTAGTCAACTTTGAGGATGATCCTTTGATGGAGAAGAAGGTGGAGAAGAAAAAGGAGGAAGAGGCCACCAGTGACAATCTAGTCGACTGGATCATCGAAGCTCGCCCAAATTGCCAGATAAATAAAAATGGAACTCCCAGTTTCACCTTTTCAGCAGACAATGCGCCACACGCTGTTCTTAACCGACACCTCTTTGACTACTACAGCGGGTCACAGATGGATGATCTGATCTTCTATCTTCGCGGCATGTACATCTTCAATGAGAGATTCAGATGAATAGTACTTTTATTTGATTTTAAGTATTTTTAAAAATGTAATTTTAATCTTTTTTATTTCTAGTTTGCTAATTAAAACTGTTATGTAATGAGCTGACTTCTTACTTGAATGAGAATCAATGGATTGGCCGTAAACTAATAAAAATGAGCCTTCACCAGCACAAAACAGTACATTTCAAATTCGGTAAAAATGACTAGAAACTGCAAAAATAGGAAGAATTCGTAGTTAGCAAAGCAAAGTAAAGGCAATTTAGCAGTCCAAGTCAGACCTTTGTAAAGGAGGCGACGGAAATGAGTCCAAAGAAAGGTCCGTAGGTGATACCATAGCGCTGCTGTCCGTCAAACTTGGCAATGTACCCAAAGAGCGTCAACTGCTGTCGCCAGCTGAACCACTCTCGGCCTTGGGTGGCCAGCCGGTAAAGGGGCCCAGTGCACTGGTGCAGCTTTTTGGTGTACCAAGTGGCCAGCAGGTGAAAGAAGACCAGCCCTAGGGCCTCGCCAAGGTTGAGCACTGTGAAGTAGAAGGAGGCGAGGGCGTTCAGTCGGCCAGTGGCCAGCAGCATGGTCGTGTAGGCGTTCATGGGCAGGATGAAGGCGATGAAGGCGAGGAGAAGGACGCCGATGAAGCGATTCGTCTGCAGCACCAGCAACAGCGTCCCAGTGTGCAGACGGGCGAAGTGCTCAAAGACGCGGAACTGACGGTGAAGGCATCTTCTGCTGTTGCTTTCACTTCTGGGCTTGGGTTTTATCATCTGGTTGATTGCGGACAGACGAATAAAAACAATTGCAGAGATGGAGATCATGACCGCGGGAAGAAGGGTGTCCACGATGACCAGAAAGACGTCCGCCAGGTCGCAGGTGACGCAGTTGAGAAGGTAGAAGGCGGTGTAGAGAAGCTTACAGGGCAGATGCAGGGTTTCAAAGATGGGCGTAAAGTGTCGCCAGGAAAGAACATGAAAGAGGACTGCGTAGGCGGTGAAGGTCACCGTGAAGCTGTAGCAGCTGAGGCGGAAGAAGCGGGTCACTTGGCGTACGACGGTGCTTGATTTGAGCGCCCTCTTTCTGCCAACTTGAATTGTCTTTTGGAGGAGGTAGTTCTCTGGATCACCTTGGTAGACGACTTCTCTGATCAGCAGAATGAAGTGAGCCTGTTGAGGGTTGTTTCGAAAGAGAAAGTACGCTGTGTAGAGGAAGGTCATTGCCTCGGCAAATAGCAACAGCAAGTGAAGGTTAAGGTGTGGCGGCAGGTCAAAGAGGAACATGTGGTCAAAGTGGAAGACTCGCCAGAACTTTTGGCTTCCGGTGATGGACTGATCCCAGTTGATCAGCAGAAAAACTAGGTGCAGGCAGTGGGCGCTCAAAAAGAGTAAAATCGCCTTTACTCGACGGAATATTTGTAGGCTTTTCTGTTTGTGAGCGTAGTTGGAGCTGGAAATCTGTTCCACTTCGTCGAGGTACCAGCGAAACTGCGCTTGCATTCGCCAAAATTGGCAGCATTTTGGAGCAAAAAAAGAAAATGTGGGAAGGATTTTGGCAATCTTGGGCAGCTTTAGTAAAAAAGCAAGCATTTTAATGTTTTGTTTGGATTCACCTTTATTGGCTGTTCAGTTACTAAATTGAGATTTTACATTGCCAAAAAAATTGTACAAGTTTTCAATAGTTAAAAATTTTACAAAAAAGAGAAAGATCATTAGGTGAAATCAATTACTATTGTTTTGTGCACTAATTTCCTGAAAATAAGTAAATAATTAATTTTATTAATTGTGCAAGAATAATCAATTGTGAGGACATTTAGACAGCAGTTAATGATTTTTGTCGAGTTTCAAAACCTGAAGCAACGCAATTAACAATGTTTAGTTTTTATACTTACTAGTTTACTATTTTAAAACTTTTCTAATAGTGCCCATGTCGAGTGGATCTGAATTACGCTGTTTGAGACACTTTTTTGCCAAAAACTTTGACCTGATGCAATTCACTAAAGCATTTGCTGGTAGTGAAGAACATTAAACAATGAATAACTTTGTGAAACACCACATTTCATGTAAAACAGTATATTAAGTAAAGTATTAATATAAAAACATGTAAAAATGAATATTCTAGCTGAGAAGCCAGTAAGTAATAATACAGAAACATATCAAATAGTATCATACAAGTAAAAAGTAAAAAAGACGCTTCTAAACAGTTGCCAGTGTAAACGAGTGGCTGCACACAGCTGAAGGCATAAATAAATTGCAGTCAAATTAGTTGTTGTATCAGCAGAGCTACCAGGGTAAATCTGTCCCATAAAAGGGAGGTGGGGATCATCTTGAACATAGATGCCTAGTCAAAAACTAGACTCGACTGAACTTGAGACCAGCTAGATTGAAAAGGAAAATGTTTAACACAAAGTTAACAAAAACAGCTGTAAACGTGCATACCTTCATCATTAGAGTAGCAATTTTGGCAGTGCAGCTTGTTGTTGCGCACACGAACATCAGTGCCCACTGTTCCGTTTCCTAATTATGGCGGCATTAAGGGGTCAAAAATGAGACAAAGTAAATTAAAGACCTTTCCACTCACCTAGTTGCACATTACAGACTGAACATCGGAAGCAGTTGATGTGATAGAAGAGCGACAGCGACTCGACGACCATGGCCGCACAGCCCTTTCCCAGCTCTTCCATACAGCAGGAGCATTTTTTCTTGCCCGACACCGAGGGCGTTACGTTCTTGGGGTGCTGAGGCTGCTGCTGCGGCATGCCGTTGGCAGCGTTCTTCAGCCAGCCACCCGAACTGGACTCCATCGAGTCCAGCTGTCGCCTCAGCTCTGCCTCCTGCAGCAGCCAGTGGTTCTGGTTGTAGGCAACTCGTGGCTGCTGTTGCTGCTGCTGCTGCTGCTGGCCACTGTAGGCGTTCGGTGCATACCGGGCACCGTTGTTTTGGCTAACTGGAACTGTTGGCATCATCTGCTGGGGCACTTGTGGTTGCTGTTGTTGTTGCATCTGCTGCTGCTGCTGCAATTGCTGCTTGGTGATGGGTTTCAGTGATGCACTAGAGGCTGAATATGGTTTCGGGTAGTACAAATACTGATTTGAAGTGTTCGGATAGGCATTCATTTGCTGAGGCGGAAACTGCTCATGCTGGTAAGCTGCATTTCCGTTCGAAACGTCTTCCACTCGCTTCTGAATTAGCGTTTTGTTTTCGTAGTTTGGCTCTGTTTGATAGTGAAGTGCCGGGTTGTAACTAAAAAATAAAAAAGTCAATGTTACAATGCTGTTTTCACAAACTATAGTTTACGTACTTTTCATAAGTAGCCGAGCTTGGGTGGTAATCATACTGGTACCCAGCTGAAGTGAGACTTTTTCCGGAAGGATTAAGCATTAGCTGATTCTGATTGACGTAAAGATGCTCCTCCTCTGGTTGTTTAGCTGCTGCCACTGGAATTGAGGGCTGCATTTGGTTGTAAGGCTTGCTAGTGCCTGACTGGATGCTTTTCGTAATTTGAATTGGCGGCAGGCCCACATCGTCAACGATGGGATAGCCACGAATGGGAACGGGATTGATCACCTTGTCGTTTAGAATGCTGTCTGTCGGCTGAATTGGATGCTGCAAAGGGACTGGAAGCTGCTGCGGCTGCATAAGATTCGCCTGTTGATAGGCAAAGTTGGGCGGCACATTTGAATAGGAATCAAGTGGATAGTGAAGCTGCTGCTGCGGCTGAGATTGGTACGGCAAGGGCTGATTCTGGTAGATCTGCTGCTGTTGCTGAAGTAGCTTCTGAGAGGCATTTCGAATGGCATTCGAATCCGCCACCGGGTCTAGGGGCAAGTGCTGTTGCTGTATCGGCGCTGGTGCCGCTGCAGGCGGAGTCGGTTGAGGTGGCTGCTGAATGGGAAAACCCAAAGGGGTTATGTTTTCGTAAATGTTTTGTGCCTGCTGCTGTTGCTGACTGATGGGCACAGACTGTGGTTGACTGTTGAGGTGACTACCAGCAGCACCAGGGTAATCCACCTGCTTCACCAATGTCTGCTGCTGCTGTTTCTGCAGTGCCTGAACACTGTTCATCTTGGGCTGCTCTGCTTTAGCTGAAACCTGTGCCTGTGCTTCCACATCCTGATGAGACCTCTGCGCCTTCTCGGTAAAGTTGTAAACAGTGCTGTTGGTGGAGTTGCTGGTCGACAGCAGAGAGTACTCCGGAGAGATTGAACTGGAGTTGAGATTTTGCATTGATTTAGACTGACTCTCCAGATGTGTTTTGGTTGTTGGCGCCGCTGTAGCCGAGGTTTCAGGCGAGAAGCTGCTGCTGCTGTTGCCGCTGCTGCCGGCGACCGACTGGTGAGTGGCAGGAATTGATGAGCTCGAAATTGAATATGAAGCAGAGACGGGCGTCTTCTGGTGCGAAGAGGAGCTGCTGCTCTGCTGAATGTTTCCCAGCGACTTTGACCGCTCTGCGGCCAGCTTCGCTTGTCGGCTTTGCTGTCGGCGTCGGGACGACTCGGCTGCCTTTCGAGCTGCCTCCTCTTCCTGTTTAGCCAAGTTCTCAAAGGCGTACAGCTTCGCCTTAAAGGAGCGCTCCTGGTCTAGTCGCAGGCGTTCTAGCTCTTCATCCAGCTCGTCCTCCTCGTCTTCCACTTCAAAGCTGCTGTTGTGGTGAGCGGCAGCGGCGGCGTCATCATCTGAAGAAGGCACTGACTGCTTAGGCGACTTGCCCTGGCTAGACTTCCAGTCGTTTATGGGGACGTGCACTTTCTTTTGAATCAATGGCTGCTGCTGATGCTGTTGTGGAATGGTTGCCATTGAATTGCTGTTGTTGTTCATCAACGGAGCTTCCTGATTAAACTCGTTACATTGCGGTTGAGATTGACTTGATACAATTTGGGTGCTCGGGTAAGCTGGTTCGGGCATTGTGCCCTCAAACTGTGCTGGGGTGTTAAATGCCCGAGATTGCTGTTGCTGCAGCTGTTGCAGTTGCTGTTGGTATTGTTGTTGTGATACCTCACTACTCATTTCATTGGCACCCGTTTCGCGTCCAGTCACTTGTTTAACATCACAGCCGTCTGACTTAACGGAAAACTCCTGGAGGAGAGTGGTGTCAAAGACGACCACTGTTCCAAGGCCCTTGCGGCACATCTCCTCCTCGCTGTACTGCTCAACGGCATTCGTCTTCAGGAGTCGATTCAAGTTGGACTCAGTTGGATCAAAGGAAAGCTCAGAGGCAGAGGCGGCGGCAGCGGCGAGCTGGTCAAAGGTCATGTTCTCCTCGTCAAACTGATCCGATTCGTACTGCTGAAAGTATTCTGCAAGGAAGGAAGGCAAACAAACAAAGGGAAACGTCAAAGCAATGCCGGCAAGAGCGGTGTGTCACTAGCAGTGGATAAGCGTGCACTACTATTTAGGTAGGCGCATCATCACCACCAGCAGCATTGTCACCATGTCTACCATACCCTGTGTTTGCGACTGGTACAGCTGCTTACTGTAATCGCTGTAAGCGGTGAAAGCGGCGATTGTTGCTATGGACAGAGGCCATAAAATACTGTTAGTCAAAAAGCGGCCTACAAAGCGGTAAAAGCTACTGAACATCTGCTACTGCAGCTGCCCTCCTTACCTTTGCGCTCTTCATTTCTCTTCATCTCCTCTTCAGCGTCCTCTACATCTGCATATCGATGCAAGTTGTAGCCGATCCGTCCACCAGAACGCGCCTTCTCGTTGAGAATTTCCGAAAATGTTTTCGTCTTTCTGTTGGTGTTGCGCGACAGCACCAGTTCATCTGACAGGAGGCAATAACAAAGAAATGATTTATTACAGAGAACAACAGCATATTATGCTAACAGCCATCACCAACCTTCTGAATTGTTCTTGGTCAGCTTCCTCTTTGACTTCCAGCTCATGAGATTGTTCTGCCACTCCTCTTCGACCTCTTTAATCTTCTCCTTGGTGATCTTCACCTTTTCTGCCAATTTAATCTGTTCCACCGCCTAAAAAGAATAAAAATTCAATTAGTTTTAAGCTGAGTTCAGTGGCGCATTCATTAAGAATTACCTTTTTGCTGAGTTCATTCTTCTGTATCTTGACAAACTGCAGCGGATCAATGGGCGGCATCTTCTTCTCAGGCCTGATGACCGCGGAGACGCTGTGCGTGGTGATGCAGCCAATGGGCGGCTGCAGACTGGAGCCCGACTGACTGCGACTAGCGTGGCTGCTGCTCGAGGAGTTGTCCGAATCGGCGGAATCCTCGAATGACTCAACGGATTCGGCCGTCGAGCGGTACGTCTCCTTCCAGCCGTTGCTGCTTCCCTGCTCGGAAGCAGCATTACAACTGCGCGACATTGTCAGCATTGAGAAATCCGTGGTGGGTTAGATATTTTTGAACCTAGTAGTCAGCTTGCAGACGATGAAGAAGAAAAAGACGAGGAAGAATAGGAAGACGACGGCGCACGAAAAGAGAAAGTAGTCTTAGGAAGTTATTGCTCGGATTCAGTGCATTCATAAAATGTCGCAATGTGTTGCAGCTTTGTAGCTAGGCAGCCAAACAGTGAAAATGTGTGCCGGCAAAGAAACGGCAACGAGACGAAAATAACAACAATCAAAGGGAGACTTGTAAGCTGCAGCAGAGTGAGATGATTTCTTTGTGCCCTTCTTCTTTCCCGCAGAGCCCCGTTTACCGAGACAAAAAGTGGGCAATTGCTAGCGATTATTGAGGTCTGAGAACAACAAAAACAACACGTTCAGAGAACTAAATCAGAGCTGGTGCTGGTCGTGGCTTTGGCTGTTGCCCCGTGTGCTGGTAGCGAGCATTCGCCGCTGGCGGTGCCAGGTTCACAATCGCAGAAAGTGAAGGAAAGTCAGTGTCTGTCTGTGTGTGTGTTTGTGTTCGTGTGAACGAAGAAGGCGGAAAGAAGGGGTGATGATAATGCGGAATACGTGACGAGTGCTAAAGTGCCGCCGCAGCAGGAGAAAATGGTAAATCAATGGCAGAGATAGTAAGCTGATGATGGTGGTGGTGGTGGTGGTGGGTGACAAGTGCAAGGAGATTTATCTTCCCACTTCATGAAGCTGCTGCAGTGAAATGATTTGGGGATGATGACGATAATGATGATGATGGTGGCGGTGGTAAAATCAATGATGAGAAATCTGCAAAAGTAATAAACAAAAATGAATCATTAGTTTCTAAATTGAACAATTAAGCTTAAATGTTGGAAAGATTGCATGATGACACCAGGCACTGACTGACACACCAGGTACAGCCTTCTTTCAAGTGCACCAGCCACTTTGGTACAGTTACTCTACTCGCCGGCTGCCACTGAAGGTAATGCCATTCAGTGTTTGGCCATTCATGCAACCATAACGGGCAAGTCACACAGACACAGACAATGGTCACAGGAGATGAGCTGCTCAGGTGTGCTCCAGCGGACAGGTAAGAGAAAAGGCAAGAGACACGTTCTAATTACTGGGAATGTAATCACATTTGCACTACATTAGAAATGAACAGTCGGCCGAGGCAACTTCTCGCGACATCAGAAAAATTAAAGCACAATCACGAAATGGCGAGCTCTCTCCAGCGGCGGTAAGTGCTGCGATGGCGATTGTTCGTGATTAAAGTGTGCGCAATGTATCGTTCAAGAAGGGGAGAGAGAGAGAGAGCACAGAGTGGCTTCAATTGTCTTGGTGTCATCAGAAGGAGATCTGTACAGTGCTGCTCACTGCATAATGCAGTGCACTGCACAATGAAAGACGAACGAGGTGTTCCGCGAATCTTCACAGGTATTTGACAAGTAAAGCAGCGCTGGGCTTACCGTGAACATCATGTGCAAACACATGCAGACACACACGGCAGCTTTCCACAAAGGTCAAGTCTATTCAGTGTGACATTTTGTGACACAAAGACTAGGAAAAGCTGCTGCTGCTGCTTCTTCTCTTGGAACTAATCACTGAACTTGTGCTCATCAGGACTCCTCTTCATCTTCCTCTCCAGTTCTCTCTTTCTCTCTCAGTCTGCCGCCAATGAGCGCAGTGAGTGCCGCATTGCGAGTAAACAATGATTGGGCAGGTCGCTGATTGGTAAGCATGTGCTGCTTAGTGACACTCAGGATGGCAAGAGCGAGCAAGTAAACGAGCAAGTACTGAGCAAATGCAAACACAGGTGAACTACTTGTGAGCTCATTGAGCTCTCTAGTCTCTCTTACACTGCACCGAAAGCATCCAGTGATACTTAAGCAGGGGACAGGTGCATCGACACAGACAGACAGACACTCACACAAGATCGAACCTGTATCGATTGTGCCGCGGCAAAGGGCAACGAAAGCTGGCCTGCAAAGAAATCTGCTGACGCTGTGTTCAATGTTGACTATTTGTCGTGGCAACATCACCATCGCCTATTGTACAGCAGCAGCAGCAGCAGCTAAGCACTCGACAGGTGTGCGCTCACACACTCTTCACACATTGCCACAAACAATCACAGTCGTTGATGACACCTTAAACCTTAAAAGCGAGGCAGAGTCTTGCCCAGACTTGTCTCTCCATATGAAGAGTCATTCGGTTATGAATTGGTCGACATCTACTGCACAGTTCCGTGCCACTTCTGCAAAAGGCCAACACAAACACACACACAGACAGGAGAAAGAGAGAGAGCGTGCACAGAAGCAAGTGGATAGTCGTCGGATAGGGACANTCACACATTGCCACAAACAATCACAGTCGTTGATGACACCTTAAACCTTAAAAGCGAGGCAGAGTCTTGCCCAGACTTGTCTCTCCATATGAAGAGTCATTCGGTTATGAATTGGTCGACATCTACTGCACAGTTCCGTGCCACTTCTGCAAAAGGCCAACACAAACACACACACAGACAGGAGAAAGAGAGAGAGCGTGCACAGAAGCAAGTGGATAGTCGTCGGATAGGGACGTTTGGCAGACTGCGTCTTTAAAAGCACAGTCAAGTGATGTGCACTTGCTAAAATTAGAAAGCCAGATGCTAAACGACGACGACAAAGACGAAACGGGTCGCCCTGCTGGACACTAGTGCGCCAGCAGTGCCAACAACACGAACACACCACACACACAGAGAATGAAGCAGTCAACGTGCGCCAGCGGTGATAATAAAGTAATAATGCCATCCAGTGGACATAGTGAGTGGACAATGGCCAATTAAAGTGATACAGATTAAAGTGCTTACTTATCAGACAGCACACTCTGTGTGGCTGATAAAGGAAGTGACACCGAGAGAGAGAGTCAGAGGGGACACATGCCTCTTTCAGCCTCTTCATCATCATCACAATCATCATCGTCCGGGCAAGTGCCTAGGCAATAGCAGAGAATAGCGGTAATTGATTGGGTGCAGGATTGGCGCCGTCACTGATTGAAGTAGTCAAATAGTGAGGCAGATGGCAATTGAGTAATCACTGCAATCACCTGGTGAGCAACAGGCACACTCGGAAGACGGCAGTGATCGATAAAAGCAATTATAAGGCGCCTGATAGATCCGATTGGCAGCTCCCTTCTTTTTCTTCTCCACTCGAGAAAGTGTTCTCCGGGTGGCTGCCAAGGAGCAACAAACACACACAAACACACACTGACAAACCACCGACAGACATTCCGGCGGCAACAGCAGTAGATGACACTGTTTGCGGGACACAGTGGCAAATATAGTATCCTACAAGAATAGTGAAGTGAGTGAGCGAGTGAGTGAACGAGGGGATCACAGGTCGGTGGCACGTAATGAGCTGCCCTGCATGGGGATAAAAATAGCCATCGATAATTGACGATAAGGCAGAGAGATTGGCACAGATACCGAAAGGAAAGGAAAGGTGAACAGGCAGCAATGAGTGAGCAGAGCAATGGCTACAGACTTCTGACTGACAGACAAACAATGTTGAGGCGGTGGTGATGGTGGCGGCAAAGGAGCAAAGTGAGAGAGTGAAACGTGAAGTGGTCAACTGTTTTGTAGAGAAATGATTATGACAGGGAAAGCGTGCATGTGCACTTGATGCCGGCGCCGCTGATCACCAGTGCTCAATGAAACAACTTACCAGGAGAAGATGAGCACACTGGTCAGGTGATGTTAATTGTTGCCATCGGTGCACTAATTGAGAGCTCGGGTGCCCGAGTCACCATACACACACACACCACACTGGTCGTCGTGTGTGCCTGGCGCTTTCTTTCATTCAATTAAATACATCATCTCCTTTCGTGCTCAAAGGCTGACGAGTTATTAAGCGTGGATGGGATTGAGATCAGATTTAGATCATATCATGCAGTGCCTAAAGCACACAAACACACACCACACTCACACACGCACATCGCTCGTCGTCGTCTGTCAATAGGCACTTGTTAGAACCATTTAGTAGATGATATTTGGTGGACTGAGAGGCTGTGGTTAGAGAAGAAGAGGAAGAAGAAAGGTGCTTTCTGGGTGAGGAAGTAGAAAGTGGCTAGTTTTTTAAGCGACTAGTGCTGCAGGAAAATGCGACTGTGTTGGACAGCTTAATTGGGCTCTGAGATAGAACAAAAAGTGAGACACTAAAAGAGCTGCATCGGAAGACAGTGAATGATTTAGTCGATCACAGAGCATGCTGCGTCTTTGGAGTCTTTGGCTTTGCTCATTCATTGTGTAATGCAAATAGAGAAAAGCACCAGGAGAATAACTAGTGGTGACTGGTGGTAGGCAGGGTCGGTGGTTGCTCGTAAATGCTTGAAGAGAATGCGCATTGCTAAGAGACGCTCTCGTCGTCGTCGTCTGTGCCTGGTAATGCAGTGTTCACTGTGCTTTAGTGGTGCTGCTGATTGTGGGAGCAAAGGGCACGACAAACATCGTTGCATGAACGATCGGTCATGCTTTGTGAGTGGCAGAAGTTTTATGTGTGCACTCAGCCACAAGTGCTGTTGCTGGCTGCTGCTGTCTCTGGTGCCACAAAAGCTTGCCTTCTTACTCTTAGTCGAGGTCAACCAACAGTCCTGACAGGCAGGATGATAGGCAAATTGGCCGCAGAGTGGACATAAGTCAGAAAGTCAGAGAGCTGGGAACACGAGCAGAAAAGCAGAGAGGGAGAAAGATAGAGAGGAACACGGCGAAAATGGCCCACTAAGAAGCGGACACGCGTGTCGGGTGATGACTCGCACCAAGGAGCACATAAAATTGTTCCACTTGAGAGGGACACACACACAAACTGAGCAGTGCCAAGGTGCACATCCACCTTGATCGGCCAGTTGACCCAAGCGTGCAAGTGGGTAGTAGGAAACGGAAATGATGCAGCAAAACGGGAAAAGAAGGTTTGTTGCATAAGTGCACAGTTTTAGCATTAGATTGCATAAAGTGGCGGAGAGTCCTCAAA